TTTTGAATCATCCGCACTGCTCAAGAATGCCATTCCCACTGCCTCAACATAATGACAGGAATTGCCAGACAATTTTGAAGGATTGAGGCAGTAGGCTCACCTCCATGTAACATTTTCAAGAAATTTTGGAGGATTTCAGAGGATTAAGGAGGAATCCAATTTTTTCACCCCCAAATTAGAGGATTCTGGAGGATTGAGGAAGGTTCCTAGCAAGAAGGGCCTAGGGGTTTAGGGTTAATCATGAAGAAAATTTAGTCATTGCATAAATCTCTGTAACATTAGCACATACATGTAACTATGAGTACATTTACCACTTATACTACCACTTATACTATATATAGTACTTAACTATATTCAAGTTGCACTTTGAAGATTTAAAGGGAATACATACAGGGCATTTTCTCCAGCCAATAATGGAAAGAGCACAAAATCTGTTGTTTATGCATCATTTATAGTTACGTGTACATGTACATGTTATTGACTTGCATGACTATCAGACATTCGTGTATATGACTAACGTATATTTTTCAATCTATCCATGCCACTTCCAGCATTGCTACGGAAAAGTTTGCTTTTGTTGGGAAAACCTGGACCTGACAGCTGTTTGGACTTTAGTTCGTCCTCACCTCTGATCTCTATATACAGTATGTACTGACTGGATAACGTGTCCATCACTGTGCAGAAACAAATGAAACTACTGCAATTCAGTTTGTGGGAAACTCCTCACAATGGCTGCTACCACATTCATTATAACAGAATAAAGCACTTCAATTTATAGAAATTCCAAGCGTCATCAAGTACCAGTACATATGATAACTATAACTCATAGGGTAAAGATGCGGGAAAGATTTACTTTGTGAGCTTTTGCATGAAAGTAACAAATAAAACACAAAGTTCACCAATAATGGCTTCTAACACTCATAATACAGCATCCAGCCGGGGCTGAGATATATCCCAAGGCTCCTGCTGACGCCCAATCAAATGCACAAGCTAACTGTGGCATCCACAGGTGGCAATGAGTGATTTTAGCTCCTCAATCTCAACACACTATCCAATACAGATCAGAAGTCTTGACAACACTGCAGGGTAACCCCTCCCATATAACACGTGTGGGTTTGTGCATGGAGGACAGACACACAAAGGGAATAAAGGACGTTTCCTGTCTTTATCAGTCGTCAATCTTTTATTTAAAACAGATCCCTGTAAGTCAATGTGTGCTTATATGGAAGGGCATTGTGCTTTAGGAACAAAGGAAAACATGTTACAGTGTCAAGAGAATAGCCGTTCAAAACTGCATATGGTGCCCACATCATCAAGTCAGTGAAAATGTGTACGTGGCATCAGAAGTGAACACTAAGCATAAAATGTAATTTAAGATTTGTCCACATAGCACGATGAAGATTTTACAGGTCTCCCCAAAATGACGTCATCGTCCTATGCTATTGTGAGCCTCGATGACCTTTTTTTTCTGGTCAAACGCGAAATGCACCTTCATTAAAAAAATCACATTTTATCCTTTTTCCAATGCTTTGAAAAAAAATTTTATTCAGAATAATTTGTTGAAACAATGTTAAGGTAAAGTGTTACACTGCTAAAACCGAAATGCTTTTGATAGAGCCCAGCTTTAAGTGCAGCTGATCTCCAAAGCCATCTCTTTAATCTTCTGTGAACCAGTACCTATGTAAAGTAATGACCTCAAAATATAACTGGGAAGAACATAAAGGAACAACTGCACTCCAACTACATGTACATGTACATGGAAAGCACTTGAAACTGAAAGTCACACTAAGAGCTAGCGATATTCAGAACATAAAACCTTTCTGATGTACAAGATACACACGTACATGTACCATAGTGTATGTATGTTCAGCAAGTGAAAGTTGGGTAATGAATTCATCCTTAATGTTCATTGCCAAACACTCTGGACACATACATGTACATGTATCAGCGAGGGGCAAACTAAACATACAAACTGACATTTACA